GCAAAGGTAAAATGAACTTTTCACTTATAGGTTTTAATTATTTGAAATTCATTTATTTACCTTCTCATTAGATTGAACGTTTAAAAGAAGAGACAGCTCGAAGACGAAGAGAAAGAGAAGAGAAACTGAGACTTTCTGCGGCCCTAAAGCCTACTGTCCCCGCCTCTCCATCGCCCTCATCTGCTCCACCCGTCTATAAAAACCCGAACCTTAACGTAGGTTCTTTTGCACGGGAACATTAAACTTTCATTTGTGTACAAATTCACGAAGTATTCTTTTTTTTCTTAGGTCAGAGATTTTGAGTCAAGAGTTCTAAACAAAATGATGGAAAGAGAAAAGTTGGATGAGATGAGTAGAAGAGAGGCATCCGGTATGAAGCAAGAAAACTTTACGCAAAAAGATTAGAAGGTATACTGGGAATAAGTCAATGGGAAATTATTGAAGTAACTAAAGGAAAAAAAAAAAAACACGAAAGAATTAAAGAATTCAAATGAGGTTTGCATCAAGTATCATTAAAAGTATATTTTTTATTTATATGTCTTTTTTTTTACGATAAGTTCTTTCACCTTCATTAGGTCTTTTATAACCCTTATTATGACCGATGCCAGTGTGTGAACTTCTATTACCGAGGTCCTTCTCTTTTTTATAACATTTTGGATCACCTATCGCCTTTTCAACGGCCACACAAAGTTCCTTCCAAGAACATGAATACGCTTCAATTCTGGCAAAAAAGAGATAATCGTGTCCTATTGAATTCGATGATAAGAGACCCCGATATCTTTCATTAGTCTCATAATTTTCAAATCGCCTTCACAAAATTTTTTTACCCACGTAATCTTCCGACAACTGGCAATGCATATCTCGCTGCTTCGCGAATGCGTCGCTTGATTTTATTCCTTACTACTGCCAGTTTGCTAACTTTCTTCTTAGACACCACTGTTTGTAGACGATAAGTTGCAATGGGCACTTTTACTTTTTTGCCTTATTTGAAAACATCAAATTTTTTTGGAATTAGTGATTGCAAAAACAAAATAAAAAACAAACAAACAAATTTTTAACCTACTATAATATCTATCAGTTTCATTCCAAGGTCGTACAAGTAATGTAAAGAAGGTATTATTGATTGTCCGCACAATCGAGCGATTTGTCATTACCATCCCTAGAGTATCTTCGTCTATGGAATGAGTCTGAAAATCGGTTTATTAATGCTATTCTTAATGAGATTAAAAATTCAAAATATTCACCTCCTTTAATCGTAAGTAAGGTACAGACTTTTTTGGTCTGCTTTCTAATGATCAAATATTTATTTGACAAAATCAATAAATTATTATTTATTAATAAAGTCATTACGAGTTTTACCTTTGG